CGTCCAAAGTTCTGACCCTTTAAATGGCACAAGCAAGCAAGAAAAGGTTCAATCGACTTCTAACAAACTATCGAAAGAGCTATTTTTATGTGCTTTGTGTTTTCTTGTAAATTGATGTTGCATATTTTCTTGAGGTTAACTTTCTGCTTAGATTTAGTCTTGTGCAAAGTAAAATTTTGAAATTTATGTTGTTGGCTTGGTTTTGTCATTTTTCATAGTAGGAAAAAGGATGATATATTTGTTACATATCATTTTTTAACTGACTTATTTAATAATTGTGATTGATTAAGTCAGCAAATGAAATCAGTATTTCAAGTCCAAATAACATGTTTATTACTAAAATGTAAGAGAGATGAATATAAATCTCTATATGATAAGCACACTATGAAATAGATTCTTTTAAACATTAATAGGGACAGGGGTATCAAGGGTTGATGTATACGATAAAAATGATAAATAACTTATTGGTGCTCTTTGAATCAAGAAGGGTAAATGGCATTTTATTTCCTAACAAATTACTTTGGTCCTAAAAAGAGTAAAAGTATCATATTATACCCTAAATATCTTTAATTGGTAGCAATGTATCTCAATTTATCAACAACCTAAAATTTGTCGATGGTTGACGTCTCATGTGTCATGCAAGTGATTTGAGATAGGTAAATTATATCGGACAATTGAAATTAATAACCAAATTTAGGGGATAAAGTAACATTACGATATCATTAAAACAAATATTTTTTGTTGATTGGTCAAATTCTATAATTCTAAGAAGTTTTAGTTATATGTTTTAAAAAAAAAAATCTATATAATAAAATAGTTTACAATTCAAATTTCAAAAGATAAATAAAATGACTTTTACTATTCGCGGTTGAGATCGTTTTAAATTTTTATTTTAAAGTTAATCTAACGGCTAATATTAACATCTTAAATTTAATAAGAAAAATAGGCCTCTAAGGGTGTATTTGAAGTGATTTTTTAAAAATATTTATAGAAATTATTACTCATAAATATTTTTTTTTTAAAAATAGTGTTTGAAACAGTCCCAACACTACCTCTACCACCACTGCCGCCGCTGTCATCGCCACTGTCGTCGTCGCCACCACTACCACCACCATTGTCATCAAGGTCATTGTCACTCATTACAACCATTACTGTCTCCTATCACCACCACTATAGCCCACCATCTTTCACTCCTATTATAAAATCGATTTTTAATTTTTTTTATCTTTTTTCTATATTTGTGATTTAATTTTGAATATAAATATAAATATATTTTTTATTTTTTATTACTCTGTACCTTTAAATACAGATAATAACTAGTTAATTTATAATACGAGATCTTTAATCTCTGAACTTAATAAATGAAACTGTAAAATTATTCCTGGGACAAAATGCAATTAGTCCAAACATGGTCTTCACTCGTGTTGGGAAAATAAATGCTTCTAGAATTTGTTTTGAGTGTCATGTACATATATAAACATGCAACACGTGCCATTCGGTCAGATGTTCAAACGATGATAGCGAATGCGTGGAATCCATCGTACCCGGACGAGGATTACGACGAGGTTTTGAATGTTGACAGCCATATGTTGTGACCATGGTCGGCGGCTTGTTAAGTACATCCATTATTATTTGGAAAATTGTTACGTGAATTTAAAAAATAAATTTAATAATCTCAATCATTGATTTCACTGTAGATTTTAGTATTTATTGAGAGTCACTACCTCTTCAATAGTTAAAATTATCAAATCTAATTTTTAAATTTATTTTTTAAATCTATCTAACATTAGCATGTGGCAATAAGACCATAGCCTACCTTCATTAGATTGTGATTGTGATTATTGGAACAAATGTGTAAGGACGGATNTAATTGTGTCGTGTCGAGTTGCGAGTTAACATGTTTATTTTCATATCGAGTTCAAGTTGTGTCATCGTGTTGAGTTGAAAATTTTTACCCTTAGTTAAGATGGAGAAAATATTTTTTTTAATTTAAAATTTTTATTNTTTACCCTTAGTTAAGATGGAAAAAATATTTTTTTTAATTTAAAATTTTTATTTTTTATTTTATTTTTAAATTTATTTTTAAAATTTGTTAATATATATATATATACATACATATTTTTTCATTGTATTTTTATATGAAATTAGTGTATACATAATATATATATATATATANATATATATATATATATATATATATATATACATACATATTTTTTCATTGTATTTTTATATGAAATTAGTGTATACATAATATATACATTGTATTTTTATATGAAATTAGTGTATATATATATATATATATATATATATATATATAAACAAATAAGATACATATCAACACAAATAATTAACTTTTCATCCACTTTCCTTTCAATTTTGGAGAGATTGATTTTAGTGAGTTGGAAGGAAAGTTAATTCATTCACTTTTCTATCTTTCCTACTTTCTTTCGTTACCAAACATGATATTTTATTTATCCTTTCAACTTTTTCATCGTACCAAACAGAGCATAAGTATAACATTTTAAACTTGAGAGATCTAATTACTACATACTTACAAACTTCAGGGGGTCTAGGTATAATTTACTAACGAATATACTAACAGACATTAATAGTAGAAGTCTACGTATTACGATCGTACAAACCTTAAGAGAACTGTGTAATATTTTAAATGTTATGAGTCTAAGTGATTAAGTAATAAATTTAAGGGATATGAGTGTAATTCTCTCAAAAAAAAAGCACTTGGGTGTGCTATATTAACAACTTTCAAATTTGCATAGCCGTCCCTAGAATTTCAAGATTGACACAAGGGTCTTATGACATTTTTTAGTTTTTACCAGGAAAACCCCCTTCACAATGCCAAAATAACACTTGAACTGCCAATATTGTCCTCCATTTTACTTTTTCTAAATTTTACAAATTTTCACAAATTTTAAAGATAAATAAGTTTAAATTTAATAAATTCAATTATAAATGAGTTAATAAGTTAATCATAAAAAAANATTTATTGAGAGTCACTACCTCTTCAATAGTTAAAATTATCAAATCTAATTTTTAAATTTATTTTTTAAATCTATCTAACATTAGCATGTGGCAATAAGACCATAGCCTACCTTCATTAGATTATGATTGTGATTATTGGAACAAATGTGTAAGGACGGATTTAAAATTTTCTCAAGTCAATAGTAATATAATAAAATATTTTTATTTATGCTCCGTTTAGTAAAAAAGATGAGATACATTTTTCATCATTCAATGATACAAAGTAGAAATGATACACTTTTTTCTTTTGTGTTTGCTTGGATGGATGAAAAATAACAATAACTAATTTTTTTAAGATCAAGGGTGACAATCGAATCTGGTCGTATCAGATTCGTGTTGAGTCATAAAATTATGAGCCTTTTATATTTGTTATTCGTGTGTCAGGTCATCTTCAAGTTTGTGTCAAGTTCGAGTCGTGTCATTGTGTGGAGTCAAAAATTTTCACCCCTAGTTAAGATAAAAAAACATATTTTTTAAAATTTAAAATTTAATTTTTTTTTAAATTTGTAATTTTCTAATTTTTAAATTTATTTTAATTTTTTTTAAATATATATATATATATATATATATATATATATATTATCATTAATTTTTTATATGAAATTAATGTATAAATAATATATAGACAAATAAGATATATCTCAATACAAATAATTAATTTTTCATCCACTTTCCTTCCGATTTTAGAGAGATTGATTTGATGAGTTGAAAGGAAAGTTAATCCATCCATTTTTTTCATCATTTATATTTTTCTTCCTTACCAAACATAATGTTTTATATATCCCTCCAAATTTTCATCCTTCTAATTTTTTACCCTTCTATTTTTTCATCACGCCAAACAGAGCATTAATGTAGGTCATTCAATAAAATTATTAGTATCAAATTTGTAATGTACAGAAAATATAAGAATCAACCTGACATGGTACAGTGTAACTATTATTTTTCAACAAAATGAATAAAATTAATTAAAACTAAATGAATTACTAGATGTAAAGGTCAAATCAATTCATCAAATAATCAACAATTTTAGTTTAATTTTATTATATNGAATTGAACACCTAACGTTTGGATCCACGACTCATCCAGGTTGAATGGCATAGTGCTGGGCTACTTGTGCGGGTTGAATGAAATGAGTTTATATTAACTAATATCCACTACAATTAAAACATGACTAACTTTCTCCACAATTTTAGAAAAAATATTGGATGTAACGGTGATATCATGTCATCATTGACATGTAATGTCACCATCCAATAATAAACTTATAAATAAATATGAATTCACCCGCTCGGGTTGTATTTTACCATTGGACAATTATACTAGATCAACATAATGACACGGTGTAGCGGTTAGCCTACTATCTTTTCGAAAAACACTATATAACCCAAATCAAATTTAAAAAGTTAAAAATAAAATGCATAACATCTCTTGAATGAGAGTGAAATGAATAAGTCTCACTAAAAAAATTAATAGAACTCATTCATCTAAAAGAAAATATTCATTTGAATTATTAATTTTCAAATTTTATTTAAATTTTGTAACGTTAATCTAATTTTTTCACAGTTTCGAGTCTTACCTGCTCCCCATTCGCAGCCCCACAAAAACACAAGGAGAGTAACTGCACGGGCTCAAAGTCTGAGTTAAAAGACATCCGCATCAGCGGAGATAGATAATGTCTGTACGCGGCCTTGTAGACCACATTACATTTGAACGGTTAAGATCTTTCTAGGAAGCATCAGACTTACTACCTATAGGCTATCCATAAAAACAGCTTCTCACGTGGTTAAATTCCTTAAATTGACAAATTCACTGGCCTCTCTCTCTTCCCCCTTATATAAACCCCACATGTTCTTTGGACATGAAAAATCACGCACCCATTCACTTCAAGAAAAGCATCATTTGGTCTCTCCTCCCTCCCCCACCGCTCTCTCTCTCTCTCACATACACACAACCCCCCCATGGACAACTGTGATGAATTCAAGCATTATTGGGATACCAATCTGTTCCTCCAAACTGAAGAGCTTGACAGGTAACCCCTCTCGTAACCCGGAAATTTTCTAGGTCTCCCTCTCTCTATCTCTCTCTCTGTGTATGTGTATGTGTATGTGAGTTTTCATGTCAAAGGGCATTGATGGGGGGGTTGATTAATTTATTTTATTGATATTCAGCAGCTGGGGAGCTATAAATTTCTAGTGCTCTCTTTGTGTGTGAGTGCAGGCATGTGAGTTTTCGTGTCAAAGGGATTAAAGGGGTGGTTGATTAACCCATTTGTTTGATTGATTTTCAGCTTCTGGGATCATAAATTTTCTAGTTGTCTGTGTGTGTCTGTGGGAGTTTTCATACCAAAGGATCATTGAGGAGTGCTTGATGAATCCATTTGTTTGATTGATTTTCAGCAACTGGGGATTAGAAATTTTCTAGTTCTCTGTGTGTGTGTGTGTGTGTGAGAGAGAGAGAGAGAGAGAGAGAGTTAGAGTTTATGTCAAAGGGCATTGATGGGGGTGATTGATCAATCCATTTGTTTGATTGATTTTCAGCAGCTGGGGAATAGATGAGACTGCTTTTTCTGGGTACTATGATTCAAGTTCTCCTGATGGAGCACAATCCTGTGCAGCCTCCAAGAACATTGTTTCAGAGAGAAACAGAAGGAAGAAGCTCAATGATAGGCTCTATGCACTTAGGGCAGTAGTCCCCAATATCACTAAGGTGATCCCATAAAAAAAAAGTTTTTTTTTTTTCAATTATTGCTGCACTTGGAATAAAATAAAAGCAGAGGTTAGTGTTTTGCTGCGCCATTTGAGGAATACTTTGACGTTATTATTCTTGGGAATAGGCGCATAATTTTATTTATTTATTTTTTAATTTTGATAAAGTGGGTTGTTGAAATTTCAGATGGATAAGGCTTCTATAATCAAGGATGCTATAGAGCATATCCAGCAGTTGCACGAGCAAGAGAGAAGAATCCAATCCGAAATATCGGAACTTGAATCGGGGAAATTGAAGAGCAACATAGTTTTCGACTTTGATCAAGAGACACCCTTTAATTCTAAGTCCAAGAAGAAGAAAATTGAGCAGTCCTATGATTCTGGGGGTTCACAATCATCTCCTATTGACGTTCTTGAAGTGGGTCTCTCTCTCTTGTCTCTCTCTCTAGAATTTGATTGTATCAGTTTTAGTTATTTGTTTGTTAATTGGCAGTTGAGGGTATCTTATATGGGAGAGAGGACTGTGGTAGTGAGCCTCACGTGCAGTAAAAGAACAGACACCATGGTGAAGCTTTGTGAGATCTTTGAATCTTTGAAGCTCAAAATCATTAATGCCAACATCACTGCTTTCTCTGGCAGAGTTTTGAAGACTGTTTTCGTCGAGGTCAGTCTCTCTCTCTCTCTCTCTCTCTCTCTCTCTCTCTCTCTCTCTCTCTATCTCTCTCTCTCTCGTGTCACGCGCCTACACGCGCAGCGGCGCAGATCTTAATGACAACATAAAAGGAAGAACCCCTTCTCAGAAGTTTCAAAATTCAAATCCCGCCCCTAGAAGTATCGATTATATAGGCTAAACCCCTCTATGTGTCATAATATCACTAACAAATCCAATGGGAGATGCACACAAGGAAAATCCTCTTTAAACCTAATTTAAGAACTTAATCATGAATTTTTGTGGGTTTTCTTTTTTAANCAAACAAATTATTAGACCTGATTAAATAAAAAATAGTACAATTTAATATTTAATCTCCTCGTAATACGTTGAGTTCATAGTAAAAGTAGGTAAGATTGAGTTATGACGTTATCATAGGTGACTTGAGCGAAAGTGAGATATGATGACGTCACAATTTGAAATGATGAAAATAAGTTCAAAGAAATGTGAAACTTGCCCTCACGAGTGCCTCAGCCGAGGTCTATCATAGAAGAAAATTGATAGGTGCTTGACCTTGGTGGATCTCCATTGACTCGGATATTCTTGTGGCATTCAACCTTTAAATAAGTAAGGGGCATCTTAGATTTGGATGTGTAAGATTAGTTTTCGAATATAGAAAATTAAAGAGAAGTTGTTTGAGAATAAAGTATTTTATTTAATTTTTTTAAAAAATTTAAGAGATTTTTAATAATTTGTTTTTCCTAATTTTGAGGTACAATTTTTCAAAAAAATTTAAAACACGGGATATAATATATTGTTTACTTAAAGGCAACATTTAAAAAAAAAAAGAAAAAATTCTCTCGTATATATCTTTCACTCCGTTTCCAAGTAAACCCAATTAATTCTTTCAAATCTGATTGTCTCGTCCAAAGTTCTGACCCTTTAAATGGCACAAGCAAGCAAGAAAAGGTTCAATCGACTTCTAACAAACTATCGAAAGAGCTATTTTTATGTGCTTTGTGTTTTCTTGTAAATTGATGTTGCATATTTTCTTGAGGTTAACTTTCTGCTTAGATTTAGTCTTGTGCAAAGTAAAATTTTGAAATTTATGTTGTTGGCTTGGTTTTGTCATTTTTCATAGTAGGAAAAAGGATGATATATTTGTTACATATCATTTTTTAACTGACTTATTTAATAATTGTGATTGATTAAGTCAGCAAATGAAATCAGTATTTCAAGTCCAAATAACATGTTTATTACTAAAATGTAAGAGAGATGAATATAAATCTCTATATGATAAGCACACTATGAAATAGATTCTTTTAAACATTAATAGGGACAGGGGTATCAAGGGTTGATGTATACGATAAAAATGATAAATAACTTATTGGTGCTCTTTGAATCAAGAAGGGTAAATGGCATTTTATTTCCTAACAAATTACTTTGGTCCTAAAAAGAGTAAAAGTATCATATTATACCCTAAATATCTTTAATTGGTAGCAATGTATCTCAATTTATCAACAACCTAAAATTTGTCAATGGTTGACGTCTCATGTGTCATGCAAGTGATTTGAGATAGGTAAATTATATCGGACAATTGAAATTAATAACCAAATTTAGGGGATAAAGTAACATTACGATATCATTAAAACAAATATTNCAAAAAATAGTATTCGAAAATAGTTTTTGAGAAGAGTTTTAAGAAAGTGGTTTTGATATTTTTTGAGATAAAAAACTTGTTTGGTTAGATAATTTCAAAAATAATTTTATAACACAGAAAATAGTAAAACATGTCTGAACTGCTTAAATATATATTTGAACAGTAATTCAAACATTAATTAAAAAAATATATAAAATTATTTTTATATTGACAATTTTATAATATATATATATATATATATATATATAATAAAGTAACTTACAATTTAAATCTCAAATGACTTTTACTATTCGCGGTTGAGATCGTTTTAAATTTTATTTTAAAGTTAATCTAACGACTAATATTAACACCTTAAATTTAATAAGAAAAATAGGGGTCTAAGGGTGTGTTTGGAATAACTTTTTAAAAGTACTTTTAAAAATTATTTCTCAAAAATACTTTAAAAAAAAATAGTAGTTGAAATCGCTCTATCATTACCTCTACCACTATCGCCGCCACCACTACCATCGTCATCACCACCTTCATCATCGCTGCCATGGTCATTGCCACTTACCACAACCATCACCGTCTCCTACCACCATTATTATCGCCCACGACCTCTCACCCCCCACTATAAAACTGATGCTTATATTCTTTTATCTTTTCTTTATGTTTGTGATTTAATTTTGGATATGAATACAAATATATTTATGATTTATCATTTTTTATTACTCTGTGCCTTCAGGCATAGGTAATATATATATAAACATCCAAAATTGTTCTTTTTGTTTCCAAAATTTTCAAAAAAAAACTCTAAAAACAAGTTAAACTTGTGTTTTTTTTGATTCAAATCTAATTTTTTTCTCAAAATTTAGAGAACAAAAATGCTAAACAAATAGGTTTTGGGTGTTTTTGAAATTTTGAGAACAAAAAACTATTTTACAGACGCAAAGCAAACATTGCCACACTTTTTTTAAAATTCTTCCCAAAAACATATTTTCAGATACAAAAACCCATCATTTGTTTCTTTGTCACTTGGATCAGCCCCCAAGAAAGGTAAAGAGAATGAATAATACTATTTAGATCTAAAAAATTGAACTAATTTACTGACATAATGATATAACTTCATAGAAATCATTGGATGAACATCTAGTTCTAATATTTGATAGAGCCTACAGTCAATCCAAATGTCACTGTAAATTAGATCAACAAATTATATCAATAAATTAAGTCTCAATAACATTGCTAAAAAAAAATAATACAAGTTTCTACCTTCTTTGCTATGACAACATTTTATGCCAACTACATATGGAGGGTGGGAGGACATTTAAAAAACAATAACACAATTTAGTTCCTATTAATGGGAGTTTGGGAGGGTATTATATTCTACAAAATTGCTTGAACTTAATTTATTGATCTAATTATTCATAACAATTGAATTGATAATAAACTCCAATATTTGTTGAGACCAGTCACCAATCCAATGATGGTGATAGATCATATCAACAAATTAGGTCAAAAATAGCATTCGATATACATTTCATTATGACAAAAGTTATTACAGTGCACAATGGGATTTTCAGCCACATTATGACCACCTTGAACATTCAGCTTAGACTGTTTTTTTCTCCCATACAGCATAGGCTTCCCCCGAGGTAGAAACTTGAAAGTTTGGTGGAATAAGAGATCCAAGATCAAGCTTCGGCCCAATCTTGACAATTATTTTGTCATCAATCATTGCAACATAGAGATCAGACTCGGAAGCCATGATCTTCACTTTGCTTGTTGGAGAGATCCCATTCCTACTCCTGATTGCAGACAACTTAGAAATTTGATCTTTCAGCCCCCAATCAAAGAAGTGATCATAAAACTGCACAACAGAACAAGCAATTCCTCAGTCAACAAAACAACCCAAAAGCAAAATACGACAGTGCATAGTTTCAGTCAGCTCGAAAATAGAAACTTCTTTGCAAAATTTAGCAAATAGAGTAAAAGTTTGAAAATTTAGTTTTTGAAACCGTGGCTGAAATATATCGAAACATTCTAAAACAGTTCGAAACGTAAGAATTTCTATATCTAATCACCGGTTCATTTCGAAATTTTGATCCTTATGATAGTATTACTTCATCCTCAATGAATGGTAAGTGAACATAGAAGCTGAATAAGGTAGTAGAAATTACTATTGATGGAATCCCTGGATGGGTGAGAATATAAGCATATCCTTGCATGACTTTATCAGATGGGAAAGGCCAAGCCTTCTGAGTAGATCCTGTATCATGATTATCAATAAAAGTCACAGCATTTTGGGGCAAAACTCCTATCAGTCCTGGAGGGTTTCCATTTGAGTCCTTCATTCTCCAAAGCTCCCCCTGCACAGCAGCCTGAAGAATCCCTTTTGTAGTGAAATCAAAGGCTGTGACAACCCCACCCGCGTTTTGAACCCACTGAACCAGGCGATTACGATGCTGGTCCTGGTTATAATCGGGTTTTCCATCCTGCCCATAAGAGAGAGAATCCCAATACTCCCCAACTGCAAAGTTTGGTGTAGTGTTCTTCATGTATACCTTTGTGATACTTGGGGCATACCCCCTGACAAAATCGAAACGCCATCCATCGAATCCAATCTCAGTCTTTAGCCAATTCATCCAATCTGATAACTCTTTTTGCACCCTTGGATTGAGATGGTCAATATCAGGAGCAGGTTGAAAGTCGGCTCCAGAATCAAGATTCCCTTTGCCATCGGAATATTCAGTATCATCTTTGCAAATTAATGATGGTCCCCAATCAAGACGATTGTCGGCTGTTCCTCCCTCAAAGATGCACCATATTCCTCTCTCATCTTGCTTCTCAGCACTTCTATGGTTTATTACTATATCGGCAACACATTTGATCCCTTTGCTGTGGAAAGCATTAACCAATGTCTTCAATTGCTGTTTATTTCCGTATTGTGATGCATCAAGATCATACAACCTTCCAGGCATATATCCTGAAAAGAGAGGAAGAATAACAATTATGCAATTTGATTATATATCCATCTTTATCATCATCTTCCAGTCTAAATGTTCCACCAAACATCAGTATGGACATTTTAGCCTCGTTTACTGTTATACCCAAGTAAATTATTTGCATCCAAATCAAATGTTTACAGTGATTTAAAGCTATTCACTGATGTCTATAACCAAGCTTAGTTAATCGCATATGCTGGCCAGTATTGCATTTGGACCCCAATTCTATTCATGAAGTTTGGCAATTTCAAGACTGAGCCAAAGTTTTTGAGATACACATTACAATTCTCGATCAAACGGTGATTTACAAACTGATGTAATCATCCTGGAGAGTTGAGGCATGCAATAACAGTTGGTAGAGATTTGGCTGGGAATTAAAGCAACCATAACAAAGGCGAACTCGAATTCAGGAGTTATTCAGCAGAGACCAATGTGCAAATTTTACATCTGGCATTATTAGTCAGGAACATATTGTG